CCAATCGCATTGTGCCAGGCCATGCCCCCCAAATCGCGTTGTGCAAGGCCATGCCCCCCAAATCGCATTGTGCCAGGCCATGCCCCCCAATCGCATCATGCCAGGCCATGCCCCCCAATCGCATCATGCCAGGCCATGCCCCCCAATCGCATCATGCCAGGCCATGCCCCCCAATCACATCATGCCAGGCCATGCCCCCCAGTCACATCATGCCAGGCCATGCCCCCCGAACCGCATCATGCCAGGCCATGCCCCCCGAACCGCATCATGCCAGGCCATGTCCCCCAATCGCATCATGCCAGGCCAGCCCCCCGAACCGCATCATGCCAGGCCATGTCCCCCAAACCCGCAGCATGCCAGGCTATGCCCCGCAAATCGCATTGTGCCAGGCCATGTCCCCCGAACCGCATCATGCCAGGCCATGTCCCCCGAACCGCACCATGCCAGGCCATGTCCCCCAATCGCATCATGCCAGGCCATGTCACCCAAATCGCATCATGCCAGGCCATGTCCCCCAATCACATCATGCCTGGCCATGTCCCCCAAACCCGCATCATGCCAGGCCAGCCCCCCGAACCGCATCATGCCAGGCCATGCCCCCCAATCCCATCATGCCAGGCTATGCCCCCAAAATCGCATTGTGCCAGGCCATGCCCCCCAAACCGCATTGTGCCAGGCCATGTCCCCTAAACCCCCCCGAACCGCATCATGCCAGGCCATGTCCCCCAAACCCGCATCATGCCAGGCCATGTACCCCGAACCGCATCATGCCAGGCCATGCCCCCCAATCACATCATGCCAGGCCATGCCCCCCGAACCGCATCATGCCAGGCCATGCCCCCCGAACCGCATCATGCCAGGCCATGCCCCCCGAACCGCATCATGCCAGGCCATGCCCCCCAATCGCATCATGCCAGGCCATGCCCCCCAATCACATCATGCCAGGCCATGCCCCCCAGTCACATCATGCCAGGCCATGTCCTCCAAATCGCATTGTGCTAGGCAAAACCCCAAACCGCACTTCGCCCGGCCACCCCAGGCCCCGACAGCATCCGCCCAGGTACCTCCCTGATCATTTTGCATGGGCCCATTACTGGAAGTT